CGTGTGTCCCGTGTCGTAGATTTACGGCACGTAAAAGAACCTCATGTCTCTAAGAGACCGCTGAGCTAAATTAGGCCCAACATTTCCCGCCCAAAGTAGTTTCCAATGTCTCCGGTAGATGGGGAAGTATTAGGTACCACTGCCAGAGGAGGGACGACCTCTCTGACAGAAAGGGACTAAAGTATTAGATACCACTGCCAAGTAGAGGGTAGAAACCTTGCTGGCAGAAAGGGACTAGGAATCCCTGCCAGAGGAGGGACGACCTCGCTGACAGAAAGGGACTACTAGATACCACTGCCAAGTAGAGGGTAGAAACCTTGCTGGCAGAAAGGGGCTAATAGCGAGCACCAGTACCGGTAGGGGATGGAGACTGTAGAAATTAAAAGGGGGACGTACAATAACTATCAAGAAGTCGCGGTGCATGGAGAAACCCACCCCCTCAATACTGAATCACTGAATATAACATAAAAACATTTTGGATATGAACAAAAACCTTGAATGTTATTAAACGCCCTATTAACAGATTTATATTACCAGTCAAAGACAAGAGCTCCTTAATTAAAATATCAATGCATCTGCAGACAACATCTATACGTGGGGCTAACCTTCCTACGACGGCTAACATCAAAAGCTGAAAAGCTCCAAGCCTTGTTTGAAAACCACTTCCCTGCTTGGGAGCCACGTTGGGCGTTCCTCAATGAAGGGGATGGAACGGGGCTCACTGCACACGATATGGGCTAAAGTCGGCGATGCACCAGTCGCCTTGAACCGGCCCACAAAGCTAAGAATCTTCCTCTGAATGCCGATATGCTGGAGGAAAATTATGAAAAAGTAAACAAGGCAAAGTTATCTCTGTGGAGGCCCATAGGGTTGACAGACGTGAAGGCTCCCAAATTTTGTAGACAATCCCTATGGGATCCTTGACATCTCACAGATGGCAGTAAAGTTATCTAGCTTATGAGCCGGCCGGCCGGACTTTACCCCCCAGGCAGATCTCTGGTACACATTTCTGTTAGAGGCTGAGTCGACCCCAGGACCATAATGCTGCTGGAAGGATTAGGGCAATTTAAAAACCCAATGATATCCAACATCGAACCCGCGATCTTCCGGCTTGTAGCACAGTGCCTCAGCCAGCAAAGCTACCGCTTTTTGAAACGCAGGTAGGATGCTTGATGGCCGACAGCGTTTGGAATTAAGTGAAACTATTAAATTTGTGGACCGCTTGACGGCATTATGTTTCATGGCGAGCAGTGCAGTTCATGTGTGGGAATTTGTTTATGATCTGTCAGTAGAAGGCGGTAGTTACCAGCTCCATTAGCCGTTCTGTTACAATTAATGAGCAGTGTATTCCATCTTGGTACGGTACACTACAGAGCAACGTGTATTTGAAAGTGTTGGCGAAAATTTCTACGTAAACTTCTTCATGAAAGAGTTCTCTGCAGACAAACAATTCACAGTTCGGTGAATAAACTTAGATCAACCGGACTCTTAGCAGACAAGAAACAAAGTAATCCACGCCTTGCAGCCGCGTGATCCAGCTAACAGGGTTCATTTTTACATTTGGTTTCTACAGCGTCGTCGAAGGTGAGATCGATCCGAAATTAACAAGGACGGCATTCTGAACACCACTTGTGATCCCTGAATTGTAACTACTTCATTCCGAACGTTGTCGGCCAACAGGCGTACTGATTCTTCGGCAAAATTCGTACGCGCCTTGCAGCCGGCGGTGCACCGGTCGCTATGAAGCGCAGGGCCGTGGACCAGTCGACAAAGGTGAGAACCTCCACGTAAATGATACATCGATTATCGGTTGGTAACGTCTACCAGACCAGACGGCACCGCATCTCAGAAGACAGTAATCTTGAGATCGTGAATGCTACAGTGTAATTGGATTCTGATTCCATTTACAAAATCAGCTAAGTGGACAGTAATACACACCGTGTGGGGCGCAAGACGGCGCAATGCCCTCCCGCGGCGACCGACAAAGGAACAACCCTGCGCGGGCAGTTGATGGTCCGAGGAACCATGATGACGACGTACATAAAAAAAAACTGGGCAATTTACGTCTATTTTCGTTGTAGAAGGCATGATTCATCTTCAGCACAGAGACAAAAGCGGGAGGTAGTTTCAGGTAAGACCCGTCAATGCTGTAACTTCCGGTGTTCGTGACTGCCGGTAGTCACTGCCACTTGAGCTCCGGGCTGTCCGTACCGAGCATTTTCAACCAAGCAGCGCCCCGTGGTCTAGTACTTAGTTATAAACCTTTCGGTGGAAAACAATAAATCTCAGTCAACGCCGTCACAAATTCAGATCCACCAAACCTAAACGCCTCGCAAACGGCGATTCTTTGTTTCCAAAGAGGCCACGTAGGGTTTCAAGTAGACGAAGTGGCACTACGGTTTCCCCTTCCAATTATCATTCCACCAATGTTATGCTCATCTATCACATGGAGCTGCTGCAATCGGTCCACTTCAGTCCGCAACATTATGACACCCGGTCTCACCCCACTCCTAGAAGTGTAAGGGTGGTGCAGAACCGAACACGAATTTATATTATCTATGGCACCCTGGGAATTTTCAAATAAACTGGTAAGCAACTATATAGAACTTTACTTGCCAATGTGCACTGTAACGTGACTCTGGGTGACAGACAAGTCTGCCGAACTGTAGCGTGCCGTCCACTTCAACAGGAGTCAAAGGAGTCCTGCGACCGTGCGCCCTGACAGTGAATTAGCGAACTGAATCTGACCAGTATTCAGATGTACTTTGTGGGAGGCTGGTATGGAGCAGGCACGAATTCTCACCGACAAGTCAAGTTACAGACTGACAGCTTTCCACAGCAACATTCCTTTACCGCGTAACATGGCATCCAGTTAGTCCAGCCTGAGTGGCGGTCAAATGGCAACAGCCTCCAGCACGTTCATCCCGGTCACTGCCTACTGTGTGACCTTGTTACGAGCAGCAAATTCTCACAGATGTCACGGAGGAAATGAGATCGACATACATACATATATGGCCATCTGCAGAGAGTACTGACGGCAACTGCCGACCTTCCGTAAGTGAACAAGTGTCTCATTGCCATGACTCCTGTCATCTTTGACGTGACGTCGTGTACTATGGCACATCGCTGCCGACGTTTCGGAAGAGCCTGCTGCCTCAAACTTCTGAGTAAACAGAACGGTAAGCTGACCATGGAAAAAGGTGGTAGGGATATTGGGGGGGGGGGGAGGACCCTAAACAGACTACTTCATAATCAGTGAAGTACGTAAGGGTCAACAATTCGAACACAGTTGGTAAGAACTGCCACAGAAAGAAAACTGCATTCGTTACTCAGCAGAATCCCTGAAGAGTTTCCTGGAAACCTACAATGAGGCAACCGGAAGAAGTTCCATGGATGCTAGGGACAACATCCCTTGAGGCTTCCTACTCCCTGTATTCCCCTCCAGGCTCCTGTGGCCTATGTCAACAAGCCCAGACCTCTTGTTGCTACAGAACACTATTAGGTAGTTAACACTACCAACATTCATGTGAACAGAATGGCTATATGATTGGAATGGAATATGGAGATTGAAGGGTTCTAGTGGGCGCACTATAGTAGAGCTGGTCTCAAAGTATGCCAGTGAGAGGCAGCTGGGTTAACAAATATGAGGAACTAAAGCTACAACTTCAGCATAGATAATAAAATTCACTATATTATTTTATTATGATCCTTGATGGAATATTTCAAAAGCATAAAAATTAACAGAAAAATATACTTCAACATTCAAATATCCTTTTCATTGACAACAAGAAGCAAACGTCAAACACAACGTTCAAGTTTCTGAAACCTAAATCTTTTTATTTCTTATTGCTAGTGGGGTGGGACTAAGCCCCTTGTACTGCAGCCACTTCTGGCCTATTGTACCAGCCCCACATGATAGGTGAGGGTGATTGTGGAGCAATTGGTGGAATGAAGATTGGCAGGGGAAACCGAAGTACTCAGAGAAAACCTGCCCCAGTGCCACTTTGTCCACCACAAATCCCACTTGACCAGACTCGGGATCGAATCCGGGCCGCCGCGATGGGAAGCCAACAACTAACAGCTTGAGCTATGGCGCGGCCCAAAACCTAAATCTTTGTTTGAATACTGGGAACTTTACCAAACTGTTTTAGCAGGATATTTTTAAGTTACGAAAATTATTTGGATCCCCAACACAAAAGTTATCTGATATTAATATACACCATATTTGAAATATTTCGCAACAAAGTAACAGACAAGCAGCCGACACAAGTAAGCAAGGAAACAAGCAAAATAATGAATCACCAAAGCTGGATCCTTCTTCAGAAGCTAATAACCACTCATACGATCAAGAAATTTCCTGCTTTCATGGAACCTCAAGGTTCCTTGCTGTTCACAATAACCTGCCACTGCACCCTATCCCAAATCAAATGAATCCAGTCAACACTCTCATGCACCAAGTCTTTAAATTCTATGCTAACATTATCTATTATCCTCCTGAATCTATCCTTTGCTCTTTCAAATGATGTTCTTTCATGTCTGCCATCTAGAGTTTTATATGCGTTTTTTGTTCTTTCCCATAAGTGCTATAAATTCTAGTCACCTCATTACCCTTAATTTGATCATAACAGTATAAGTCATAAACTCCTCATTACACTGTTTTCAAATCCACCAGTCACTTCCTCCTCTTAGATACAAATATTCCCCTCCTCACCCTGTTCTCACCCATCTTCAGTCAATGTTAACCCCTTAATATAAGACACAAATACCCACACAAAACAACAATTTACAATTTTGTGTATTTCAATCTTTACACTCCAATACTGCAAATGGGAACAGGAGACATTTTGAACTGGAAACAAGTTAATAACCACATATAAATGAACATATAAAATACTGGAATTGTGTTACCAGGTGGGTGTCAATACCAGACGGAAACTGTGTGCTTTATGTACTGAACTTTACTGAAGTTAACACGGAACCTAAGGTATAAGTACACTCACCACTGTGTTCTGTGAAAATATTTGATCCCTGCTGACGTCCATCCTTGGGGACGCGTGGTTTGTTCCTGATAGTGTTCCTAACGGCAAGAGCTCCAGAAGATCCTACGCGTTCCTTGGCTTGCTGGGCGCCCATGATTTGGGACCATTCCCAAGTCTGTTTGAGGCACAGCACGCCGAGCCACACTGAACAGGAATTTCGGACACTTTTATTCATACATGTTTACTAATCTTTTAAGTACACTTTCTAGACGGCCCATCGCACTCACTGCTGTTACAACCAACACAACATACACTACTACCACTGACACAATAGGTGATTCATGCGAGTGTCAACACCTCAAGCACACATCACTATCCGCCATATTTGACATCTCGACGTCGATATTTAGTTAAACATTTCGACACAAGGGAGCAGCATTACCCCAACACATGGTTTCACTACACATTCAACTTGCCTTGTACCGCTGGGTACAATGTCGTTGAGCTCTTTGATAGCTACCAATGATCGTAAGGCATGGAGAAGTGACTGCCGTAAGCGTGCAATTAGCATATTACATAAAATTTTCTTCCTTGCCATGAGATTACAAAAATAAATAATTTTCTAGACTGATATTTTGATATAAATATACAACGACTTTTACTGTACAACTAATATGTGTCCAATTGTCTGTTAATCTTTCACGAGCTCTTCGCAACCGAAGTAACTAGATTGTTGCAGTCCATTAGAAGTATTGACTGGGGAAAATCCACACTAGTTGCTGGGCCTGGGAAGCTTCCAAGAAAGAGGTCATATAGTTCGAAAAGATAGTCAAAGTCATGTTGCAATTGACGGTCAGTCAGTCTGTCTGTCTTGGTGTCGTGCCCCAGCTGGGGCTCATGACCAGATATTTCTTTTGAATGAAACTTACTGTCTTATCTATGTGGGGCGCCCTCTCTGTCGAGAGGTCGGGTCCGTCATTTGTCAGTCAGTCTGTATTAATAAGTCCATTGTCTGTATTTACATACATTTACAAATTCACACTTATTCCTTACTTCTATGTACAACATATACAAGGCCTCTGTTAGTCCAGGGTCAGTACAGCAGATTATGCTCTATTTCTAGTACTATTCGCTACCACGGCACTCTAAGTCACTTGAACGGTCGTATGCCTGACCGCCGCCAAGTTTAAGCCTCTTATACTTTCTGTGGCGGGCTTCGCCTTGTCCGATGTTGCGAACATTCTCATTATCATGATTTTGTATGACTTCTGCTTGTTCGAAACGATAATGTCTTAACGCTATTTTATATACTGTTTGCAGGTTGGGGTTAATTCAGTCTGTATTCTGTGGACCCTGTGGGTGGACTATGCAAAAGACTGCCACTGTTTCATGTACAAGATTGAGCAGTTTGTCAGCATGGAACTCAGCGTTGGTGAGTTGGTAAGACTTGTAGTGCCGCGGTTGTAGGCGCTTGTTGTTCGAGAGTTGTTTCAAAGTGTATGTGGGTTGGTTTCTATAGACCATAATTATGGCCGAAAGACTGGAAGACTTAAATCTTCCAAACACCGTAATAACAAGAATAATTAAAGAGGCACTTCCTGATGGTGTCAATATTGCCAAGGAAGCAAGAACAGCATTTGCAAAGTCGGCATCAGTGTACATTTTGTACATAACCTCTGCAGCCAGTTTGGTAGCAACAAGCAATAACCGAAAGACGATCAGCGGACAAGACGTATTGCAGGCGATTGGGAATGTGGAATTCAACAACTTTTTGGAACCTTTGCAAGATGTACTTGAATGTAAGTTAACATGTTACCGAAAAAATGTACACAAATCACAGTGCAATGTCAGATGCAGCACAGTGTAGTGCATTTTGCAGTTTGCGCGCGTTTTCTGTGAATGAAATTTATGCCATAATCACTGTTAATTTTTAAATTACAGATTTCAGAAGAATGCAGAAGGGGAAAAAAGATGCATCTGCAAAGCGTAAAATGCAGAAGGAAAGAAAATCAGAAGATCAAAACGGAAATGAAGTGGGTGATAAGGACAATGTTATGGAGGCTGATTTAGACAATGGCTTAGAAACTAGTTCAGATGTGATATATGATTGTGTTGACCAGTGACAATCTGTTGCATTCATAGACAGAAATTTCAGAAGTCATGTTTCATCATTTCCATCATCTGCATTCATTGACAATTTGGCCCTACAGTCGTCCAGATCATTGTATTTCTGACGAACTACCAACCGCAGTGTGCATCGGGATTTTAAAGAGTCCAACAGTTGTTTATGCTTATCTCACTGAAAACTGATTCGTATGAAAGTTGCAGGTGTTATTGTGGAATCTTTAATTTTATACCTATATTTACTATGATATGCTTTTGAAAAGCTTTGTACCAATTTTATTTGAAGATAAACACCATCTATGAATGTTCTGTGACTTTACTTTTTTGTTTTCACATAATAATATCATGAAAAGAAAGTGCACTTCAGAGTACCTCATTATTTATTGTATTTAAGCCCTTATAGGAACTTACACACAAATACATTAAGTAAAAATATAAACTGTTGATGTAACATATACCACTGTTGTAGATGTACAATACCAGAAGCAGTGAGAGCTGTCCGGTGGGCTCTGCTACTCTTATGTGGATGATGTAACACTTCAAGGTTGTAACACCATTTTGTTTTGAAAAAGCCCAACATTTCCATCTCTAGGATTGAAGAGTAAGGTAAGCAAAAACCAGAAGAAGCAGTCCTAGATTATAGCTTGGCTTTCTCCAAACTGCACCGTGTTACAACCCAGAAGATCACATTCATGGCCACCATTGTGAGAACATCAAATTATTCTGTAAAAGCCCTACCAACATTTTCTTGTATGCTCATGTTTTACCAATTATTTCTACTTGACATAAGGAAAAATTGCCTGATCAGTGGAAGGCGTCTTATTATACTAGTTCACAAGAAGTGTTATAAAGCTGACTGTAGTAATTGTCAGGGGATATCACTGCATTCAACTTAATACAACATTTTATTCAATACTCTCAAGGTTAAGTCCATACGTACATGGATGAAATTATGGGGGTTGATCAGTGTGGGTTTTGACGTAACAGATCAACTACTGATTAGATCTTTTGCATTCATCAGATACCAGAAAAAAAAAGGGAGTACAATAAGACAGTACATCAGCTATTTTTAGACTTTAAGAAAGCCTGTGATTCAGTTAAGAGGGAAGTATTGTACAATATTCTGACATAGTTTGGGGTACCCATGAAACTAGTTAGGCTATTAAAATGTCTTTAAACAAAACACATAGTAAAGTCCATGTGTGTAAACACTTGTCTGATACATTTCCTAGCCAGAATGGTCTAAAACAAGGTTATGCTTTATCGCCACTCCTTTTCAACCTTGCTTTAGAATATGCCATTAGGAACATTAGGAAGGTCCAGGAAAATCAGGTGGGACTGAAATTAAATGGGACATATCAGCTGTTGATCTATACTGATGTCAGTCTACTGGGTGATAAAATAGATACCACAAAGATAAACACTAGTAAGGAGGTTGGTCTAGAAGTAAACTCGGAGAAAACTAAGTCCATATGTTGCTGTCTTGTCACCAAAATGCAGGGCAAAATCATGACATAAAGGTAGGTAAAAGATGTTCTAAAAATGTGGCACAGTTAGGATATTTGGGTATGGCTATAAGAAATCAAAACCTCATTGAGGGGGAAATCAAGAGGCGATTGAACTTGGATAATGCTTGCCACCATTCAGTCCAGAACCTTTTGTCTTCTCGCACGCAGTCTAAAACATAAAAATTAGAATATACAAATTATAATTTTGCCAGTGGTTCTGTATGGGTGTCAAACTTAGTTTGACATTAAGGGAGGAACATAGACAGGGTGTTTGAGGAGAATATTTGGACTGAAGAGAGATGAAGTGACAGAGGTTGGGGAAAACTGCATGAGGACCTTCATAACTTGTACTCTTCTCCAATTATAATTTGAATGATCAAGTCAAGGAGGATGAGAGGGGCAGGGCATGTAGCACGAATGGGGTAGAAGAGGAATGCATGTAGGATACTGGTGGGAAAAGCAGATGGAAAGATACCACTGGGAAGATGAAGGCATAGGTAGGTGGTCAGTATTAAAATGGACCTTAGACAGAAATGGGATGGTATGGTTTGGCTGGATCTGGCCCAAAATAGAGACCAGTGGAGGGCTCTTGTGAACATGGTAATAAACCTTCGGGTTCTATAAAATGCTGGGGATATTCTTGAGTAGCTGCAAAATTGGCAGCTTCTCTAGAAGGGCTCAGTTCCATGAGGGAGTGAGTGAGTGAGAGTGATTCATGTTTACCTCAGTATACTTTCCCACATTAAGCAGTCAACTTGTGGTAGTGCTGTCAGGTCACAACATATTCACCTGTGACAATATGATATAAGGTACAGGATTTTATGTCCTTAAAGTTATGTGGCAGTCAGTTGGCTGATACAGAGCAGTTGTAGTCCTATGGGTAAGCGTGGTTTGTCTTGGAGAAGTGTCTGGAGGTTATGAGCAACGTATAGTGAACGCTGGTTGTTAATTATGTTAGCACACCTAAAGCATTTCCACTGTTAATGGTAAGTGTATCCAGCTGTACTCAAACCACTGTCCCCAAGTCACTTAACTATTAGATATCGTTACTGATGTTGCTAGTGGAATTCTGGGTGTAAGGGAAATTGGGTAGGGAAGAAAATCAAAATCCTTTTGTTACTGTAACATTCTTGATACTGCACAAATCCTCTGCTCATAGCAACAATACAGCAACCCCCCACAAACTGCTCAGTTCATGTATCCATGTTCTGTAAGTTGAGCACACAACAGGCTTCTGCATCAGCTTACCAAGATTTACTGGTGCAAGGCTATAATGGCCAGTTGAATCCAGTTCACATCATGTTTAAATAAAATTACTTTAGTATAAAACAGTGTCCTTCCAGTTAACATCTGTTAACACTCAGTGCACTTCCCCTGACACCTACTTCTCTCCAAGGTCTTGGTCTTGCCAACTGCAGCGTTTATCAGGAATGTGCCTGCCAGTTGGCAACACTACTATAATGAATATGTCATCTGTAACACAGTAAGATGTAGTAGTAACAGTATTTGCAATTCAGATATCCTAGAAACATTTTGGGGTCCTAACACAGGAAGCACTGGTATGAGAGACTGGAATCAACAGGTAGACAAGATGTGGCACTGAACTTTCAATCCCTATGGCAACTGACACTAACAGTTACCTACCAACCCAATTAACATAAATCAAAAGTAAGTATGACATTTTAAGGTTGGGAATTGTATCAACATGTCCCTTGAAGAATGAAAATATGTGATGGAGGGTGGATGGTTTTTATTTAAAAAGAACATATTACATCAGACTCCTCAAAATTAAGATCACTAAAGAATATATAAAATGACTCTTAAAAAGCAATAATTATTCTCAACATATAACCTCAGTAAAATATGAAGTGCTTAGTACTTGAACATGTTCATTAATCCATCAACTTACTCGCTGTCCAGAAACAGAATTCCATTGCAGAAGTCTCAGCTACTGGTCACTACTACTAAACGATTTCGTTGTCAGCAAAACAGATTCAGATTCTCGTTCAGGCTATACCACAAATAATTTTGTTTTGAAGGAAAGTCAGCAACCTGCCTAACATGATTATGTTTACGCTTAAAGATCTGAAAATAAATGGTATCTTAGACCAATTGTGGAGCTCAATAAGTAAGCTGATGGGTTCAGAACAGTAACAAATTCTGTTCCCTTTCACAATATGTTAATCTTAACTGTCATAATATATGTCAAAGGCAATAACTTAAGTTATGACACAAATGTGGGAAAAAAAGATGGTGTATCATGTTGCAAACTTGGCACTTGTGCTTCTGTGCACTTTATCACTTAATGCAGTGAAAGAATGAAGATTAGTAAACAATTAATTTGTGTAACCTTCTATCTGCTGGGACATAACAGTGTATAGTCTGCTGAAAGTCAACCAGCACTTTGCAGGAACATGTCACCTCCATCTTCAGGGCTGAACAGTAAGCCAGCAGCAATTTGCTGCCTGCTTCATGCTGGTTTCTTGCTTGGCTTACTCTTTGACCCTGAAGATAGAAGCAGAATATTCCTCCAAAACATTGGCTGACTTCCAACAGACATGATGTAATATCCCAGTAGACAGAACTCTTCATATGTACCACTGTGACAGCCTCATATCATACTTATGTAAACTTTTTAACTTAAGAAAATCTCTTGTCAAAATGTTTCAAGATTTGGTCTGCAGCACCAAGCTTTGTAAGTTTACAATAATCTATGTACAGTGATTATAAAGGCATTGTTAAAAGGCTTGTTGATTTTGTTGTTCATTAAGGTCACTTCAATCCAACTCACTCACATATTCATATCAAGTTTTGCTGCATGCAGAAGCAGAAGCACGCATACGATATACAATTTGTGCAAATGCACCCTCTATAGAGTTACAGTCTTCTGGGAAGTGGAACTGCATAGCTTCATAGGTAACCACCAACCTTTCAGAGGAACCTCTCTACTTCACGCTCTGATGATCAATGATGCGGATTCTTGTGATATGTTGGTATCTATTTACCACGCTATATACATCTGAGGCTGTAACTGTAACATTCACCACCAAGGAAACCTCAAATTCCACTTATAAAACTACGCATTTCTGCATTTACAGGAAAGAGGAAATGAAAAATAACTACATAACAAGACGTCATGCTGCTAAAAGGACAACTGACTCTTCACTGGTATGGCACAATTATGTTGGCAATCACTTGCTGCCCAAAACATGTGTGCATATGCATAGTGTGTTGGAGGTCAGATCTTCAAGCAATTGCTTGTCATTATGTTTTCCTTCTTCTGCACCTGATGACTGGAGTACAGAGTATCCAGTTATGTACAAAAGACCATGGACGAGGCCATCTGAACTGGATACTTTACCAGAAAGGACATATACAAGCAATTTATATATGTTTTATTTAAGGACACTGTCAATAGCACAGACTACAGTGCCAAGTATGTGACTGGTGAAACTTGACCTCTAACATTAAGAGAAGAACACAGATTGAGGGTGCAGGAATACCTGGACCTAACAGGGGTGAAATAATAGGATGCACAATAAAAATTCATACTGAGAAACTTTATAATTCACATTCCTTGGAAATACCATTAGAATGATCAAACTAAAGAGGATCAGATGTGCAGGGTACACAGCACATGGGAGAGATATGGATAAAGAGGTCTGGTCAGAAAAACCTGCAAGAGACTACTAGGAAGATAGAGCTATGATAATAATATTATGGACCTAAAAAAAAAGCAGGATGATGACATGGACTGGATTCATCTTGCACAAGATAGGGACAAATGGCAAGCTCATGAACACAGCAGTTTCATAAAATGGTGGAAACTTATTTGGTGGCTATGTGACTGTTGGGCTGTGAAGAAGAACTTGACTCCACTGAGTTTAGTTGGCCGGTTGGTTAGACAGGATGACTGGAAAAGCGTAAAGTTGTCCCTGTGCTTAACTATTTAAGCACTATGCCATGAAGGTGCATGGGGGAGCAGTTGTATAAATCCACATTTTCTTGACCTCTGCAATAGCTGGCGGGAGTGGTCAGCTTCATGACCCTGCCGCTTTACACCCAGGGAGAGAGGCCCTGGTACCCACTGGATAGGAGGTTGGATTAGGATGACTGGTAAGTAAAGCAAAGGTATCCCTGTAACAGGTCATGGAGGCCCATAGGGTTGTGAGATGTCGAGGTTCCCACATTTTCTAGACAATCAGCTCATAGATGGTGGCAAGGTTGTCAGCCTTACACGCAGGCCACCCTTTACCCCCAAGAATATTCCAAGAATATTGCTGGATACTGATATTTAAAGGATGTGAAGTAAAGTGTTCATGGCTCAATTTCAAGAAATATCCTGGTATTTGACAGGGGGAGCTCAATAAAGTGATAAAAAAATTCGATCAGGACAGGCACTGTGCTTTGGCTGAAACTGAAACCAGACACCTCCCACAGAAGAACAGGTAAGGTAAAACTAACAGGACATCGAGACTCCCACATTTTCTAGACAAGTGGCTCAGAGATGGTGGTGAGGCTGTCAGCCTTACGCGCAGGCCAATCTCCCCCCCCCCCCC